GATCCATATCAAATATCCATTGATCCTATAGAGAATTAACATATTAAGCTCATGACCAAGAATAAATGGCTATAATACATGCCAGGAATTTTATCGACAAAGAAAAAAAAAACAAAGGAGAAAACAAAACTAAAGAGGTGTATGTCTTACCATGGATCGAACCAATAAGGACATGCCTCGAGGATATGGTTCATCATTGTATTCCCTGAGATTAAACTCCATCCCATTCAAGGATACTTCCAGAGTATCTGAATCGAAGCCTTCCTTTGCTAATTTCTTAAGTGTACTCATGACTAATTCTTCTACTTTTAAAATGTCATCATGAGAAACACTCATCACCCCAACACTAAATACAGGTTGAAGGAGATCAACAGAAACCTCAATAAAAACATCTACAAAGCCATTTTCAAGCAAGATTCTTTTCAGTGGAGAAAAAATAGTTCCCGACATAAGATGAAGCAAAACCTGAATCGTCCGCTCAGTCTCCATGTCTAGAGGCCTATCACAGAGCAGCCAACTGAGGCATACCATGTTTTTCTTTTTTAAATCAGCACATGGAATAGAAGGATATTTCTTAAAAATCCTAACTGGTTCTGAAAATAGTTTCTGTGGTTTAATCCTCGATTCATTTGGAGCTGAGCTTGCATCAAACATATCCAGGTACTCTGAGAGAGAGTAAGATGGTTCAGATATAAGTTTCTAAATTAAATTTGACAATCTTAAACTCATTCATCTGAATCATCACAAGGAAAAGAAATTACATAAGAAAAGACATCGCTGACCAATGTATTGCTCTAACAGCTGTTCATTTCCTCATCTGAATTTTAAGTAAACTCTGTTTTAGTTCTTGAAAACAAGTTGGTGGCAAAACCGAAATGGAGGGATATTTGTGATTTACAGGTTTGACAACCTTCTTTAAGATATAGTAAAGTTGATAAGTCAAAACAGTCATGCATCAAAGTAGCTATTTGATATGAGAAATCTCCCCCACTCTTTTAAGGTAAAGGTCAAAATAGCCATAAGATACTTTGCAGGCAAAGTAGTCACATGTTGGATCTATTTCAATACCACTCAAAATGCGCAGGCGCTCAGTTGGATCATCATCTCCATAAAACCATATCCTTGCATTACTGGGATGGTAATATTTACGGTGGAACTCCTGTAATTTTATCGTCAGAAACTCAGAAAGAAAATAACTAGTACTAAATAAACTTTACGAAACAGTTCATATATATATAGAGAGAAGAATCATATGTTTATAGATAACGTGCTTGACATTCAGACAATTTGGCAGAAGATGGTACCAGACATATGCATGAGCCCAATATATATATATATATATATATATAGAG